ATAATTAAGATTCAGAGAAGCTCTGCACTTTGCATGCACCAAATTTTCTGAACCGGGCAAATATACACAGAATTGGTCGTGGGTAGATGTATGTGGACATGGAGCAACAACAACAAAATTCACACGTACTTTTGCTGCCCTTACCATCACAAGGGCACTTCACTCCCATGCTAAGTTTGGCACAGCTGCTCTGCCACGCTGGCATCCATGTCACCTTCCTCATCACCGAGCACAGCCAGAGTCTCTTCACCCAGCGCGAAGCCCTCTCTGCCCGCTTCCCAACCCTCCACTTCGAGTCTATGCCTGACGGCCTCCCACCGGACCACGGACGCAAATTTTCTGCCCTACACGAAGTGGGTGCGTCGCTTAGGTCCACAATTAAGCCGTTTCTGCGTGAACTGCTCATCTCCCTAACCAAAAAAGACGACGAGACGTCTAATGATGGCTCTACTCGCCGGCGGCTTCCTCCTTTGCGTTGTATGGTAATAGATGGGATATTTATGTGCTTTGCAATTGATGTGGCTGAGGAGGTGGGAATTCCCATATTTGCCCTTCGCACAACAAGCGCTTGCAGCTTCTGGTGCTATACATGCATTCCCGACCTCATTCAACAAGGCCAGCTTCCCTTCCAAGGTCATCACTGTCACTCTTCTTTCCGTTCTTTTCTTTCCTTATAAAACTTTAATTTCATAAAATTTTGATTTATATGTATCCTTTCAGAAAATTCTCATGGTGACTCTTTTCTTTAATTTCTTGTATTTTTCCTCAATGTTATGATTTACATGTCACTTTCTTAATTTATATGTAAGAGAAATCTAAACTGTGAGAAAAAAAAAAAATTGAACTAAGCTAAATAGGATACACCTCTAACAGAAAATAAAATTGGGTAGTAAGTATACTAATTTAGGTACAGGCCAAGAATTATTATTTTTTCAAGAGTTATTTTTGTTTCGGTCCGTAATCAACTTAATTGTTATAATGAACCCTTATTTATTTAAATACTTTGATCGAGGTCCCTAACATTATTTAAGGGATTTAACTCCTGCATTTATGCATTAAATATTCCACAAATTATGAAATTTAAACAAATTCAAATAATATTTTTACAATATAACAATTACTTAAAAATCAATAATAGAGTAATGTTGTTCTTCACATAGTTCTAGCAAAAAAATAATGTACCCACGTAATGATTAATATATTTTAAAAACAATTATTGATATACTTTAAAACATAAAATAAAGGGAAATGTTATTAACACTTCAAAAATCTTATTATACACTCCTTCCAAGTGTATTTTTCTTTCTAAATATAGAAAGTTTGAAGTGTAGAATGAGAATTTTAGAGTGCCAATAACAATTCTCAAAATAAATACATATAATTAGCTGGTTTTCACCAGTTCAGATGTATTTTGTACGCTTGCTACTACAGTACCAGTTTTTGCTGAACACGATATATGCTTGTCATGTTAAAACAGATGAGGACATGGATCAGCCGATTAGGGATATTCCGGGGATGGAAAGTCTTTTGAGACGACGGGATCTACCGAGTTTTTGCAAAATGCCAATCGACCATCCAACTTTTAAATTTTTCGTGGAGGAGTTTGAGGCCATTACTCGAGTTTCTGCTCTCATACTCAACACCTTCGACGACCTCGAGTCCCCAATACTCTCCCACATCGCCACTCGCTTTCCCAAAATTTACACCTTAGGCCCTTTCCATGCTCTTCTCAAATCTCGCATAGGAGACGATCTATCATCCTCCGCTTCCTCCTTGCGCCACCAAGACCGACGTTGCATGACTTGGCTCGACTGCCAACAATTGCGGTCCGTTATTTTCGTCAGCTTTGGGAGTTTAGTAAAGATAACACGTGTCCAGTTACTTGAGTTTTGGCACGGTCTAATCGACAGTGGCAGACCCTTTCTATGGGTAGTACGGTCGGATATGCTTTGGAGTGAGCAAGAAGCGCACGCGACTCCGGTAGAGTTAGAGGTTGGTACTAAAGAAAGGGGTTTTATAGCGGAGTGGGTCCCACAAGAAGAGGTACTGGCCCACAAAGCTATCGGAGGGTTTTTGACCCACAGCGGCTGGAACTCGACCATTGAGGGCATTTGGGCGGGAGTTCCAATGCTTTGTTGGCCTCAAATAGCAGACCAACCGGTGAATAGTAGATGGGTTGGGGAGGGTTGGAAGATCGGGCTCGATATGAAGGACACGTGTGATAGGTCTACGGTGGAGAAGATGGTAAGAGCATTGATGGAAGAAGGTGATCGAAGCGAGCAGATTTTCAAGTCGGTGAATACGTTTGCGAAGTTGGCTCGCCATGCTGTTCGTGAAGATGGCTCTTCGTATAAAAACCTGGAAAAACTTATTGACGACGTAAAAAAGTTGTGATGTGAAATCATGTGGTGTAAAAGTTCGGTTGCTGAAGTTTTTATGTCTAGGGAAAGCTCTTGATCTCTGTATTGAAACATGTGTGCTATTTATGATTGCTTCATGAATTAAAAAAAAAAAAAACTCAACTTATGTCAATGTTTAAAACTTTGTTGTAGACCCAAGCGCAAGTAAGTTGGCCAAAATCGCGTCCTCTTTCTTTGATAGTTTGACACTTAAATTTGACTCCATCTTCTTATGGTAAGGTTAGATTTTGCTCAATTAGAATAAATAAAGTCGTAATGATCTTAAAGTCATGTATATATGACTAAATATATATATATATATATATGTATATGATTAGGGTAGTTTATAATGGAAGGGCTATCTTTATATTAGAATGTGTGTTAACAAGTGTAATGCATGTTCAAATAACTTTGTTTATAAGTGAACAAGATTCAAGATTGATAGAGAATAAACATAAACAATGTGACATCAAAGAAATACTGGAAAAGAAAATTCTCATCTTTTTATAAAGAGGATTCTCTCTCTCGAAATTTCATCAAATATGCCTTAAGCACTATAGAGATATTTTCACATCGCCATCCCTCTCCAGGGTCCAACCATTCAATTTTGGCCTATATAAATACAGCTATCCGCCCCATCTTTCTTAATTTCACAGCATTGAAAAGTTACATATACTTAGCTAGCCCTGTTTCTTTTTCCAATCACCAAAACACATTACATACAAAGATATCATGTCATTCATTCCTAGTAACATCTTTGTTGGTCACTACGATCCTTTCTGCCACAATGTTTGGGACCCATTTGAGGAATTTCATTATGGAGGCCCAATGATCATCCCACACCATGCTTTCCCAAGTGAAGCAACCTCCTTCGTGACCTCAATGACCGACTGGAAGGAGACCTCAGATGGGCACTTAGCACTCAAGGTACATCTTCCGGGGTTCAAGAGGGAAGAAGTGAAGGTGGATGTGGAGGAAGGTAGGGTTCTTAGTATTAGGGGCGAGAAAAAGGTGGAGAGAGAAGAAAATCACGACAGTTGGCACCGCTTTGAGAGGAGCAGTGGCAAGTTCATTAGGCGTTTGAGGTTGCCTGAGAATGCCAAGGCCGAGAAGATGAAGGTGTTCGTGGAAAATGGAATGCTCACTGTCACGGTTCCTAAGGAGAATGAGGTTATTAAGTACTCTCCTCATACCAGAGTGCACTAGAATTATTCTGTATGTATATTGTAACTTTAATTATTCCGGGGAGGTGGGGGTGGCCGGTTGCTTCCCCTTCACTTGTGTGTGTCTTACGTAAACAAATAAAGTGCATGACACCATTGTAGCTTTGGTTCCATGTAATGAAACAATAATTTAATTAGTCCTAGCCACAAAATTAATGTGTGAGAGTGCTCTTTTCTAACTTGATTTTAATTAGTTCCTCTCCCTGTGCACCTAATCCTCCTGTACGTGTTCGATCCAATGTTTAATGAATATCCTACTTTTTCTCACAACTTAAATTTTGAATGTGATCACTTAGCCAAAATTAATATATCGTTTGTTGATAATAGTTCATGTAGTTAGTTTTATCCAAATACTTGTGCAAAGCTATCTGCTGTCATCTATTTGTAAAGTAGGAGAGACTTTTCAGTGTGACGGGAATACGGTCCGGTAAATCAAGTGTAATAATATAATTAGTTAAAAAAAATCAAATTTCCAACTAATTGTATTATTACACTTAGTGTACCAAGCCATGTTCTCGGCACACTTGAAAATTTTCTCATATAGTACAAGTAGCATCTATCTCTTATGTATTTAAAAGGAGTTGTATCGTTCATCGTTGTACAGATCAATGAAAAGCAAAGTTTACAGGATTCATAGTTTATGAAATTATTAACAACTAAATATTAATTGGCTATTGACATGCTACTTATACGTGTCCTAATATCATTACTTCGTAACACCTACAACAATTCTCAACGATAATTTTGCAAGGATTAGCATCTCTTCTAATCAATTCTTTTGATTTTGTAAAAGGCCAACGAGATAAAATTGAGAGAGAGAACCCAGTTTATGTAAAGAAGACGTGCATGTTGAAGAGCACTTTTGGTAACTCACTGGTTATATATATGTCTTTATCAATCCTGAATCTTGCAAGCTATAAATTAAGATTGCATGCTTAGAGTGCACAATAAAAACTTTCTAAATTAAACGAAATCTTAATGGTCTCCTAATATGAGAGTTTGGCACAGATCGAGGGCTAAATTTATTCTTAACAAAACACTACTAGAAATTTGGCTATAAGCCACCCTTTTCATTTGGTGGCTATTGTCAAGTGTTGCCACTCAAATTAGTGGCAAACCTCTATGGCCACCAAGCACCCACTAAACTAGAGAGTGTGGCCTATGTAGATGACTCTATTGTAACAATGGCTACCAATATTACATTGGTGGGTATGTGAATAGTACAACTGTTTTATATTTTATAATTATTTCTAAAATTCTCATTGTCCCTCTTATTAGTGGCTAGATTTGAGACTAACAATGCCACCCTAATTCACATTGGTGGCAAAGTTCAAAAATAATATTAAAAAAAAAAAGGATGCCCCTGGGGGCACCCAGATTTGAATATAATATTTTTCTTTTTTTTTTGGTGAGGAAACAAATTGTAATATCTTTGATATAAGAATATACTACAAATTTGCATAATTGATCTTTTATACAATTTTGAACAAATGTTGGGACTCAAACTTTGAAAAGTGTTTGAACACTCTGTTTCCAAAGAGCTTAAACATGTCATGCCAATCTTACATGTGAACTTCGCTACTGTTGAGAGAACTGACCCATTTAACTGCTGCATCAACGTTATTTTTCTGATCACAACCTACGGTCAAGGTTACAAGATACTTTGGCTTGACAAGTAAGTCCTACAAGTTCCACCTCAAAAAGAAAAGGCTAAGATTAGAGAACAGGTTTGAAAAAATAATCCAATTCTTAAACAAAACAGGACGTGTTATTCATACTAAAGTTAAGAGCAGTAGATGCACACCTCACTGGGCAGACCCCATAGTCGGCGAAGATAGAAATCCGACTCAGATGCAATGATACCAGGCGCCAGGCTTTCTGTCCCTCGAGGATTAGTTGGAACCCAAATCTGCTTTCCTCTCAAAATGGATAGAAATCAGTGCCAGCGCAGATGAACAAATTATCCTATCCTACTCTCAATCTCCCAAACATCACCATCTAATGATCAAGGCAGCTACAAAACAGAAAATTAAAAAGTGAGTTCTAATTGAATTCATTTACATATACCCTACACCATTAAGACTTAGTAATAAACAAGAATGGAGTCGCGGCCTAAAATCAGCCAGTGCAGATGAACAAATTTCACCAGAGTAAATCCAACAAAATCACAAATCAATACAAGCATCTCTAAAGAATTCAAATAACCAAGAGATGGGTGAAGTGAGCCGATAAGAAACCAATCAGCAAAATTCAGATTTGGAAAAACCCGAATCACTTAAAAGCCCACTACATTTTAAGATCGACTCCCAAAATTCAAAAACACAATCAACAAGCAATCAGTAAAGCTATTTCTCAAAATGTTAACTCCAAAAGTTATACAACTCCATTCTTCATACGTAATGCTCGAGTCAAGAATTGATGATTACAAATGCCAAAGTAAGTTGTCGACCCTTAATTAACAAAAATTGTAGTAGCTCTCAGCAGCTATTCTTACCCTTTTGCAGCAGCCTTCTATAGTACTCTCATTTTTCCTCAAGCATTTAGAGCATCTAGCAAACATTTATCAACACTGATTCAGAGATAAATTTAATTGTATCAACCAACTCAAAGAATACATAAACACAACGAAGAATTGATGACTACAAAGTGTTAACATTTGCACATACATCAGAAAGGGCATTATCGCTTGGATTTATCCTTTAAGAAAACCGATGACAACTGTAACGTAAACTACCAAACACCAAATTAAATACACGAACATGACAACCCCAAACATAAACAAAATTCTATATGAATTCAAAATTGTGTTAGGGCAAAAGAACCCCAAACGTAAACAAAATCTCAAACCAATTAAAAAAAACCACAGGCCAACACGTGCACTCATCTTTCCCTTTCCTTCCCCTCTTTTGTTACCCCCATTCCATTAACTCTCTTCCCTCAGAATTATATAAACAACAGCAGGAAAGATTAATTCGATAATGAAAAAAAAAATAACTTAAGAAAAAAAAACCCAATTACGCATCAACTTCATTTTTATATAAAAGAGATGAAATTATTGGAGATACAGAAGCTTGGTTAGAGTGCAGGAGCAAGACTGAATGAAATAATGAAACTTAAAAGAGAGATATTACATGGATCAATCGTCATCATACGAAACATGGAAACTGGTCGTGCAGCCCCACAACAATTGTAGAACTTGGCAGCGTATGGTGGATTGTCGGGTCCCAATTCATAGTACCTTAAATTGAATACAGAAAAATAAAACATCAATCAAGTAAAGCTATCATTTCTAATTATCAAATATACCAACCCGTAGAAAATATAGAAGCGTAGTTATAACAGAGCAATTTCTCTCTCCCTCCCCTCAATATTTCCAGTCGACTGTGAAATCGAAAAATAGAACCCAAAATGCCCAAAAAGCAGAAGCTCAAAGAAAAAAAAAAGAAAATAGAAAATAAAAAGGCATTAGAAAAGGTAAAGTCATTGAATTTTACACAAAATTACAGAGATCAGAACTCACACACAAATTAATTTCAGGATCAAACACTAAAGTACGAAACTTTACCTTTTCCCTTCTCAAACCTGACATCTTCGAGAGTTACCTTTTCCAAGTTGTCGTACATCCTCGAGCCTTTGCGTTCATATGTGCTTTCTCAATTTTAGTGTAAACCTACTCCAAATCGGCCAGAAAACCAAGATTGACTTGAATCTACTGCCGAGGGGTCTTCATTGCTGCGACCCTATCCATGAACTTGTTGCAGTTGATTTTCGTCTTCTCCTCCCTCCCTCCGCCCTCTCTACAAACCGCATGCCTTCCCTTCATCGAATGCCTATCTTTCTCTCTCCCTCGCCCACGATCTCTCTTACTCTCTATCAGCCGCATGCCTTCCCCTCACCAAATCCCACACTGAGCCGTCGATCCCATCGAAAGGGTTAGGGAGCTAGGGTTAGGGAGGAGGCGAGGAGTTGAGCTCAGGGAGGGGAGAGAGAGAGAGAGAGAGAGAGAGAGAGAGAACGGCTAGGTCGAAAATAGGGTTGTCCCACTTTGTATTTATTTGGGGGTGAAAGTAATGTAGAATAAGATTATTAAATGAGAAAAATAATATTTTTGACAGAAAAAAAAAGGAGAAGAAGACTGAAAAAGAAAAAAGAAAACAGGTCCCAAAGTTTAAAAAAACATGTAAAAAGTCTTTGGTGTCAAAAAATTTATAGTTTGACAGGTGTTATAAAGGTTAAAGCCACCAACAAAGGATGTTAGAAAGGTTAAGGCCACCAAAATTTGACAATGGTGACAATTTAATTCACAAATGCACAAAAAAGTATTTCGCTATTTAACAGACACCAATCATTCGCGGAACCGCTCGATTTCATCACTGATCAAAGCAATAATGGCCAAGAGATGCGATTAGGGTCCAAGGCTCTGTCCTTCTATGGGTTTTGGCCTCTCTGTCTCCCTTTTGTATTTGACTTGCATTCGTAGATCCTGAGAAGCAATATATGTCCCAACTTTGAAAACAAAAATATTAACCAGCACCACTTAGGCATCAACAAAATAAATAATGAAATAAAAAAGTAGAAGAAAAGTAATTTTAAGAAATAAAGTTAGTTAACAGACACTAATCATTGGTGGTTGATTTTTTACGGCCACTGATATCAGTGGCATCCCATTGTAAAGCCACCAAAAAATAGTAAGAGTAGCAACTTTATATCTATGGCCACCAATTGCAAAGGGTGGGTAAAAAATGGTGTGTAATGAGCATAATTCTAGTAGTGAAATCGTGATCAATAACGCAATGGGCACGTACGATTACATTGTGTCCAATCAATTCTCTCTTAATTAAGGAATCTCAACGTGGGCATGAAGGTCTTACCAAAAAAATAATAATTATAAGTGTAACTGTTCTTCTATTGAAACCCCAAGGTAGTTGTGTGCAAGTTTTTTATTTCAACAAAACTGTATGTAAGTTTTATTTTCGATATTCGGGTCAAAAACTCATTAATGCATTTTGAAGTACTTGGTTTATTAGATCTTGAGTTTTAATGAATTTTTTTTTTTTTTCCGTTTCAGCAATTTATGAAAAAATAAATCAAGGAAAAATCTATATGAATATACCGGCTACAAGAAAAGACCTCATGATGGCTGAGACTACTAGTAGTGCATGTGACTAAGGACTTGGTGCCAAATCATGAAATATGCAAACATGTTAATATTCTATAATTGCATACCTTTTTAAAAGGCTTTGAAGGCTTTAATATTAGTTTTGGTATGGCAGCTTTCGTGCCACAAAATTGCTTGGAAACAGTCATACTATACTATACTATACTAATAGCACAGCTGCACATGTATTAAATATTATGGATCCTGTCGAAGCACACCTCGTCGCAATTTTGAATCATGTACACTCATAGGCATGGGCGGATCTATTAAGGGACCTGGATGGTCCCAAGACCATTGGAAGCTCAGATAATTGACTGTAAGGACTTCCAAGGACCACCTAAGTCTGAACAGTGGTGGAGGGGAAAAGCAGCGGCTGCACAAATATTTTGGCTTTCTGCCAAACCAAAAGAAGAGAAGAAGATTATTTACTTTTTAAACAGCATCCTAGGTCATGACGTCATGTGGAGCATTAAGTAAAATGGTGAGTATTGATGTATTGTTTGAGAATACCATCCTAGGTCACGTGGGAGGCTAAGAGCGTCACCATTTTTATTAAAACAAAAAAAAAACACAAAATAAAAAGTGTTCGACTTTCAAACAATTCCACTCCACCCAAATTAACTCCCTAGTCCCTAATCCCCGTTCCCTAATATTCCCACCCCACCCAACCGAAGGCCACCATCTCTTCTCCGTTCTCTTCTTCAACCTTCACATACCCATACATTTTAAGATTAACTTGATATTTATATTCATTCAATGCATTTAAGAAGTGACTTTTCTCAATTGTAAGGGATTAGTGATCTTGCTAAAAAAAGGGTAAAAAAAGAATTGCATCAAATTGTTGTTTATATTAAGATTAAGAATAAAAAGTTGTCGTTGATCGTTTAATGTTTCAATGTTATTTTCATCTAATTTTTTGAGTTTTATATTAGGACCACCCGATGTTAAAATCCTGGATCCACCACTGCTCATAGGACAACTAGTTTTGTAAAAGTTAATTGAGTCTCAATGTAAAAGCAAATTTGGAGAATCAAATTTGCCATGCATGAACATTACTTGCTCACCAAAGTTCTTAGAAGCAGCCTGCAGCCAACCGTCTCCTGCTCCAATTTTTTGCTAATACATGTGTCGAGACCACAAGGCTTTGCTGTCTTTGTGTTCGATGTCTTTTTTGATCGGTTTTGCTTCATTATGACAAACTCAATGCTACTTATTTTGATGATAATAACTTAACGAAAGTTTAGTACATCCACTTTTTGGATCTCCTTTTCATTCTTGTCCGAATCATTCTTCAATGTAATATAATAATTTCAATTATCTATTTTTTTTAAGTTACTCCTTAAAGATAACTCGATAAAAAATAAATCAAATTATAAATCTTTTAGTGATCTGTGAGTTATCTAATAAATAGACGAACAATGTTATTCATTTAACAATAAATAGACGAACAATGTTATTCATTTAAATATTGAAAATTTTCACAACATTAATTCAATGGTAACTAATTTGGTCAATTTTTAGCAAACTTGATCATTAAAGGGTGAATTATAAAGTAGACAGTTTTGACAATCAAGCAACATAGAGCAAGAAGATTCGGACAAGAAGATTAGTAGCATCCCCCTTGTTGAAAAATAAATATAATCTAGAGCGGCCAGTTGTCCCTCAGCCATTGTAATCACCTCCAAATTAAGTCCCAACAACATTGTTTTCAACACCTGTCTTGTCTGTAATCTATATAACACCAAAACCTGCCAGAAAACCTTGCGATGCCCAAATCGCAAGCAAGGAAAGGATGGAGCCTATGATGAACATGAACATGCAGATGAGCTTCCACTGGGGCAAGGAGGCTACAATCCTATTCAAAGGCTGGCCTAATGAAAGCACTGCCATGTACATATTGGCTTTACTTTTGGTGTTTGTGCTAGCCTTTACCGTGGAAACTTTGTCTGCCTGGCCTAATGTCAAACCTAGAATGAACCCAATCGGGGCGGGTCTCGCTCAGGCCTCCGTTTACGCTGTTCGAATTGGGATGGGGTACTTGGTCATGCTCGCTGTCATGTCATTCAACGCCAGAATCTTCATAGTAGCCGTGGCAGGCCACACCTTCGGGTACTTTATAGTCAAGGCCGTAACTCTTGCTCTTGCCAAACCAGCTGCTTCCCCACCCTAGTTGAAATTTGATTTTGTTTATACCTAGTTGATGATCAGATATAGTTTTACCTTTTGTCAATGAAAGAATTTTACCTTTAATATTCAAGAAAATAGTTTTGTGTACTTCCAAGTCCTCCATTTATCCGAAAATAGAGCTTTGATTCATCATTTGTAGGGCTACTTAAGCAAACAATAAAGGAGGATCTGTCATGTATTGCAAGGATCTATTAATTTTCACATAAGTCTATACTGTACAACATCTTTGTTGAGAAACCTGCAGATGAACATGAAGAGAAAGTTTCCTTATTTAGTAATAGCAGTTAGATTCAAATGTACAACGGCTTGTTTAGTTTTTATTTCGGGAAAGAAGAATAGCTGTGCTTGTTCTTATCCCTTTGTTGTACTGTCTTGCTGGATCCATTCCCAAGTGGAAGGATCACAGCACCTGATGCTCTAGAGGGCTGAGATTGATCCCCGAAAAATCAGATATCTCCAAGCCCCTATATGCTAGGGTTTTGTTGAATGAAATTATCACTCTCTCATTCACTCTAGCCTCCCTGCATCTCCCTGCATTTCTGTTCTCCCTTCACCATTTTTCAAAAGCTAAAATCTTGTGAAATTTAATAAAAAATCGATCATGGCCTGGTACCATTTCAACAATCTTCTCCTCCAAACAATCAATCATGAAAAAGTTTTCACAGAGAAAAAAAAATTGAGAGGTACTATTTAAAGATCTAATCGTCATAGTTGTCTCTACTTGGTCAAAATATGTCAAGCTTTGACTCACATTGATGCGAGAATGATCTATATCGTGAACCGACCACTAGAACTGAGACAAGTGCATCTACAGTTCTTTGTTCATGAAACCTAGCTAGAAATTCATGCCCAGATCCTTGAATTTATCCATACCCTAATCCGTGATTCAAAACTAATTAACTATAAATCAGAACAATGTTATATTGTTTATTAAAAGTTCACAAAAACACAGCACTAGCACTGCTGCACTGCACTAGGTGGCAGAATAGTGTTATCGACAAGCTGTATTGTTAAGTTATTAGATTCCCTGGTCCTGTATTGTTTGGCGGGTCGTTTCCTTATTAGTTCCTTCACCATATATTATATCTCTCATTTTCTTTATACGTGTCCATTCTTTCACTCCACTTTCTAAGCACAAATCAATCTTCTTATTTCCTTCTCCAATATAAATTTAATCGACCAACAATGCTCGCTCTCTGCCCAAATATAAGGTTATATTGTTGGGTAGTGAATATGAACGGCATGTAATAAAGAATATATTTTTTCGGTTTTGAAAAATTGATGTTCTAAACTGTTGAGGAATGAGATTTCAACTCAAATGCACAAAGACAAACACTTGCTCTAACTGACCTAACTCACATCTATCATATAAAAATAAACTTGTTAAAAAGTTTTAAATTCAGTTCGACAACGTAAGTTGCAGAATATTTTGAGAAATTTAAGATAATGAAACAGTGAAAATTTGAAAATTACCTTAAAAATCATATGAAACAAACAAAAACCAGGTAAAATAAAATGAATTGAGTAGTTTTATTCACGGACATTTTTATTTCCAACACACTCTTATTAATTTTTAGCTAGTGATCTTCTTTAATTCATTTGATCTTACGGTCAAAAATTGAGATATGGCCCCTCCGCCCAAGGGTGGTGATGAGCAGCAGCCTCACATATGCGGCAAAGATGTCATCATCCTCTTCCACGACTGGCCTAACAACCACCTCGACAAATATGTCTTGGCTCTCTTCTTCATCTTCCTCCTCGCTGTCGCCATCGAGATATTGTCCGTTTTGCCCAAACACCGACCAAGCACCAAACCCTACCTATCCCTCCTCGGCCAGACCAGCGTCCACACTTTTCGTACTGGTTTGGCTTACCTGATCATGATCTCCGTCATGTCGTTCAATATCAGAATCCTCATCGCCGCCCTGGCCAGCCATGCCGTAGGTTTCTTCATCGTTAAGGTTCGCGATCATGGCCACCTCCCCGACTAACCCGAACCAAAAATTTGATTTATCTTCTTGTTGTTGGTCAGTGCTTGGGTTGGCTTCTATCTTTTTTGGTTGGTTTGTATAATTTTATGAGTGCGCTGCTTCTTGTTGTGGTTGCTTTTTTTGGCCTAAGATTTCTTTGAGCTTGTTGGGTTGTGTTAGCTAGTCAGCTTGTGGTTCAATTGGACTTAATATTTGTATTGCATAAATTTCTGTTCAAATGAAGTAAATAGTTGGACAGCAGTTTGGGAGAGATGAACAAATATAATCAGTAGAATATGCATTAAGGTCAAATGAATAATCTTACAGTAACAGCAACCGTCGGATGCCGAGATCTCGTTCGTGATTGGTGAGGTACACTCCTGGAGCTCAGTCTGTACCTTAGCCAGTTGACTTGATGATTCTTTTTGATGCTGTAAAAACCAAGATCGGTTCGTCGTCAACGATTTTTGGAGCTCTTCAGAAGAACAAAATCACTAAAGAAGCTAATCTCCACTGTTCGTTAGTATAGAAAGATGAATTATTTAACGTTGTTTACACTTGACTCTTCTTCTAGAACCCGTCTATAATTATTTGAGACGTTGATTACAAAATCGTACATCCTGGCCGCCCAAGAGCTGCAAGTAGTCGTTTAGGCCACAAAAAAGACAACCAGGACGATCTAGGTACATCCTCTGCAGTTTCATGAGATTCGTCTGAATTATCTCCGTCGGAATCCTCCTTATCATCATTCTTGGGGTTCTCAACTGCAGGCTGATCTCCATCTTCAGTTCCAGCCTCTGCAATTTCCCCTGGCTTCTTGTCAAATAGCCCCTTGAATTGCTTCCGCACCTTCTTCTCAACTTCCTGATTATTAATGGCGAGACAAAGACAATCGCATAAATAATTTTTACTCCACGTCTCAAATCATAAACAAATTGTCGCTGATCAACTCACCTGTTCTTTCTGCTTAACTTTTTGAAGAGCAGCTGTAGCATCAGGTTCAGTTGACTTGTCTAGTTTGATCATCTAAAAGCATTGGAAGGGATTCGAAAATGAATAACAATAATTTAATTATCAAAAATATCACTGAATTATTGATAAGCATTACCTTGTTGAAGTCACTCTTTGCTTCCTCGAAATCTCCAAGAGTCATGTAGGCCATACCTCGACGGTAAAGAGCCTTGACGTGTCCAGGGTTTGCTTCTAAAACCTAGAAGTTCCATCGGGAACACATTACAAACCAAAGTGAAGGAATCAACTTCAGACTACATTACCAATTATCCAGACCCCTTATCTTTTAATATGTACGTATCAAGACATACCTTGTTGCATGTCTCGATGGATTTTCTGCATTCTCCCATCTTCAGGAAGCATGCGGCGACATTCAGATGTAACAGATTCTTAAACATCCAAACAAAAAAAGAACCATTTATCAGTTCATCGACATGTAGTTATCAAACATACAGGTTGTGCAACTGGACTTCAGAGAATGTGAAGCGAAGATGTTCAGTATTACAAGACTCGAGAATAAAACAATTACAGCTTACTAATCCCATCTAGGTAAAATTTAAATAGAGAATAAGACACCCAAAGGAGAAATACAAGAAGCAAGTGGTTACCCTTGTATTGGCAAATATTTTCCCCTCTTCATCATCTTGTGGATTAACATGATTAAATTCCCGAAGCACCTGTATAGAAGCCATCCAACGATACGATCTTATGACAATAAGGTCACAATGGACACTTTTTTTTCATGGCATAGAGCAGAAAGTAGAGATTATGATTTGACATTGGATGTAGTATTATCATCCATTCATAAAAGTGAAATAAACTCAGTTATACTGAAACATGGAACTGAGAACGGCAGTTAGGTTCCAGAAATACGACTCTCAAATCACTAGATAAACTGTGGCTGAACAGTGAACACAAATCAGTTTTGTAACAAGCAGCAGTTTACTTGCAATACAATTTAATTAATAAACAACCGCAGTAAGAGAACATCCTTCATCATGAAGATAGAACTGGCCTACACCTACAAAATACTCATAATCTAAAGGTAAAGCATGCATGGAAGGGCACACTACCTTGTCATACTTTGCCTTAGCAAGTTCAAATTTTCCTTCTTTGAATAGCCTGTTCCCCTGAGACGAATATAGCATCATAGTTTCAATTCCCATGATTTAAAGTTCAAATACCCTACTATTAAAATGTTATATATTGCTAAAAATCAAACTTTATGCCACTGAAACAACTGAATATTCAGAAGATGAGCATGAAAGCACGAAAATGTGCACACAAAACTTTGATGCAATGAGATTATGTGTTAATACATCAGTAGCTGTTGATAGTTTGATACCGCAACCACTAGAAGTTAATAATACATACTGTGTTTCTAATCTTCTCTGCTTCATCCATTATGCTTTGAAAATTTAAACCAGTCCAATCCTGCAATGAGTTTGAGAATAAGGTTGAATCACATGGCTAGCATACAGCTTGACAGTAGGAACCTAGAGAAGAAGTAAAAACCTCAAACACATAGTTCAGATAAATGTCCAGCTAACAAAAAGCATATAAGCATGTGTATAAATTGTTTATAAAAGCATGGGTATAAATAGTTGAGTCGTAACTCACATCAACACCTAAACCATTTAGAGTGTGCATAATTACGTATACCTCCATCAAGGACTATTAGAGGTAATCCTTAAGACAAAGTACACAACCACTTTGAAGTTACTTTAAGCTGAAAGCTAATTCTCAAAGGTTAAAATTTCATCTCATATTGAAGTAACTGCTTCACAGAAAGTTAACACTAACATGAACGATTAAAATGATCACCCAGAAATATTCAACAATTAACCCAAACAAACTACAAACAATATCAAAAACAATTATTTTATTTTATTTTTATATGAAATACACAAACAAATAAATAAAACTTCAAAGAAAGGAAAACATAAGATTACCTTTGGCATCTCAAACCCAAGAAGCTCAATTTCCCATTGAATATGAGCACCTTCAGGAACATTAGCAGGCCTATGATATGGAGACAAAAGCAGTGTTACACTTGAACTTGGAAAACTATAGAAACACTGGCAGGAGACTTCCATCTATGCGTCTGTGTGTTATATTTTAGGATACTGTTTATTACCAATTACAACAGAAACTACAAATAGTAAGTAAATATTCTCAAAATAACCTAGGAAATTTGTCGTATGCATAATCAGGAGGACATGTGACGAGAGCTCTCTCTTCAGGCAGCATCAAACGAACACACATTTCAAATCCCTCGGGCACCTATCATACAACATAAACCTTTCACTGCATTGAATTTCTGATTAACCACCATTCACATAGAACAAGGTAAACAACTAGCTCCAATTGCATCAAGCAAATCGGACTGACCTTAAAATATGACCTTAGAGTACGCATACAGACACACACGCGCGCGTATTGCGCAAACTCAAAAAATGAAGACTTCAAACCAAACATTCTTCTTAAAGCTTATGGACAACTCACAAGGCCTTCTCCAGAACAAAACTCCAAAGGTTGACCATCGTTATCAACTCTTGTATCATAGAAGATTGTCTTTTCCTCGTTAAGAAGCATACCCTTATAATGGACACGTAGTAGGCTGTCATGAAGAGGGCAATCCATAGGAAACTCACCTAATTATTCAAGAAATATAATAGAAACATTATGCTTCATGCATATAACATATGCAGATAAAAGATCCGTGAAAAGACCATAAAATCCACCATTTGAAAAGACCAGAGTCAATGACTCAAATGGGAAAATCATGTAGCAAGCCTCGATCCATGTATCTAAGAAACCCTAAATTCTCTGGGAACATAAAATTCTTGAACCACACCTTTTCCATCATGAATACGACGTTTTATCAGGCGCCCATCACCAAGCATGTCGCGCACCTGAAAATACAGAACCATAGAACTAGATCAGAATTTGACTTCCCCATAAAGCCATATCCTTGCCAACTTTGCTATACAAATTATTACAAAAGAAAACAAAGAGACATGGAGAGGGAACTTGAGTTATGATAAAGACGAACTTTGCACACCTGAATAAAGTGGGCAAGCTCCACTTCAAAATGAACTTCCTCAACACCTTCTACCACAGGAAGGAAAGGAGATGGAGTTAAGTACTGCTTGGTCACATATATTATTGCCTTCTCTTTCCGTGTCATTGTACCAATTCCCATCTCAAGACCTTTAGGTACCTAGTTTATATTCAAAGACATTGGGGTGAATAAAACATAATACATTAGAGTAATATCAAAATTGACTGTTTCCCCACTCAACATAAACACTTTTGTGGCCTGATTACTTCTAGTCTTAATGTATTTTACTTCTAGACTTAATGTATTCTTTAGTGTATGAAAGAAGAAAATTAGCACCAAAAATGCGATTTAAACCCATCAGATAAGTAACAGCTAAGAGCGATGTCACCTGAAACAAAACAAATGAACAAACCAACACAAATAAAGAAGATAATGAGAAATCGGTTACCAACCTCTGACTTTCCAAAATTAAAGAAAAATGGCTCTCCTTGAGTATGTGAAACAAGCACGTTTCCATCACCTGTCTTTGCTGAAATCCTGAAAACAATCATATACCTCCCTTAGAAAGTTTCCACCTATTCATACTTACATGTCATTACAGCAATAGAATACTTATTGGGAAGGGGAAAATTGGTCTTTACCAGGCTTTTACTTCATAAGGTTCCCTTGGCGATTCCCAACCCTGACCTTCAGTTATTACCTGCCAATTTTAACGGGCAATCTATTATGAAAAATGACTCAAATTTGGAGTAAAGTAAAGAAAAATTTGTCCCTACACAGATTATAGTGATTGACACTATTAATCATAATCGAATAAATATTCTGAAAGCGTTTCTGAGTTTAACAGCATGCTCCTAAGTCAAGCGAATGTGCAATATTTTATTATTTCCCGTACCTTCTTTACCACTCCCAAGTCATCACCAATAAGCTGAAAATTAGCCAAAATGAAATAAATAAGATCAGAACCAATTTGAGGTCAGGAAGACGATGAGTACTGTAGTTGATCACCATAATCAATTGTACTTCAAGCATTTTCAACCATAAAATTTATGTTTTGAAATTCTCGCCTTGGCTTTAAAGAAATCGATCATCTCAATTTCAAAATGAAGTTCATCATCCTTGGGAAAGCCGCTGGGTGCTGAAACAGGGCAATCGTCCTCACCATAGTGCACTTGAGGTTTCATTTTGAACTGATACAAGGAAAAATACAGTCTTTAAAGCATATGAGCCAAAGGCACACATTCATAGGCAAAAATAAAGCTTACTAAACCAAGAAGATATTACCATCGCAACTTCACCCTTCAGCATTGTTGGAATTCCTTCGAGTAATCCCACTATGATCTTGCTCTTCCCCAAAACATGTCGTATAGGAGTGCCCTTGCCTGTTAATAAGAGTTTAATCAATTCAATGAACATAACAGAGCATTTTAACATGGAAATTCATTTTACTCAAAGCGAAATAAAATTAGGTTTCGACAACTTTAGAAAATCATAGAATTACCACAACACAAAAACTAGTTCAGGGGGAAAACATATAAGAAGTGTTATTTAGAAAGTCCACTAATCTCTATACATATTAAATTGTAGTTAGTAACATAAGACTTGCCTCCATATTCCGATCGGGACGATTCAACAATGACTCCGTCCAATGTTCTAACAGTGGAATGATATACAACCTGCAAAATGCACAATGCAATTTAGCTTTCGCCATTTCCTTCCGTGACGTTATCCACCAAAATTCTTAATTTGACACAGTTCAATTGCAGTAATGGCTTATCAAAATGCAACACAAGCTCTAACCTGATAACCATCTGAAGGTGTCGAATCGCCTCCACCGGGCCTCATCACCGCTTTCATCAAACCTCCGGCCGCTATCTTCTTCCTCCTATCGTCACAAATCAAACAAAATCAATGAAATTCAAATACAGCATTTCACTGATAATTTCCACACAAAAAAAATAATAAAAAAAAAAACCAAAATAATTGAAAAAAAAATACCGCTTCTCATCTTCGGAAGGCTCCTTCGCCTTCTGCGGCGGCGCGACCACCTGCTGGACACCTTCTTCAACAGCCATCGCCGATCAACGTCAAAACCCTAGCCCTACATGAAGAAACAAACTTCCTCTCAGCTCAACCAGCAAGAGCGGGGATTCCGTACACTCAATTACCTTCATAATTTCACTCCGCTTACCCGAAATTCGGACGATCGAGGACGATTCCAGACCGAGTTGACTCACGAGTCGTGATTTTCAAAGCTTCCAGTTCAGCAGCCTCAGTTGATATTTTTACAGCTTTCCAGTCCCACTTCTAAACAAATAATCGAACTACTCGAATGGAAGACGACGCAGGGCGAATTTTGACCGTCGGTAACTGGTACCTGGATTTACCATTTACTGAGGGGTTGCTGGGTCCTAGAGAGGATACGGTGGTGACTCGCACTGAGGATTGAATCCGGAAGGTATTTGGCGCCACATGAGCAGCCTAGGCCGGCGGCTTGTAAGCTTGGTTATATATTCGACATGTGGCAGAATGATGGATAATATGGTTACATGTGATAAATTGTTGTTCACCTACTTATCCACCGAAAAGTAAAATGTTGTTTACCTAACTTCTAAGACTTGCTACTTAAGATCTGTCGACAATATTCAAGGTCCGTAGATTTCTTTTTTTTTTTTTTTTTTAAGATGTCAAGGTCCGTAGAAGTATGCGAAAGACGAACTTATAAAGCGCTGAATGATAATTATGTATGTACTATATAGCAAGTCCTTAATTTCGTACTTGCCTAGTTCTGTGGCGAAGTCAGGAAATATTGAGGAGAGGGATAAAATTTAAAAGCGCAAAAGGTTCAAAAAAAAAGGAGTCAACCTTTTAGATAATAGACAATATTAATGTCGTTCATAATTTATCAATATAAACAAATTACATGAAAACATTGCATAATAGGCTTATTATTAGTAAAAACAAAATCATATCCCTTAATGTAAACAACCAAGCTATCACTCAACCATTCATCCCCTATTTTGTTAGGCAATGGTGTTTTGACAAAATTCATAGCAAAAAATGCTCTCTCCACCCAAGTCAATGTTGTAGCTTTCACACCTCCTATTCTTCACCAATTCCTTTGAAAAATCACTAATTTCTTTCAATGATGAAAACTCACTATGCATCTTCAAGTCATGAATATAACTATCAAGCTGAATTAGAAGATTTTGAGGTCCATATGATTAAAATCTTGAGGATAAAGTTGGGAGAAATGATCTACTTTTTGTTGGTCAAAAAATGCAAAATTATTCATCGGGCTCAAACATGTCATACAAAAAAAGCAATTTGATATTTACCACATTGAAGATATCATTCAATTCTTTTAAGTTGCATATAAAGAAAAATAGACGTCCACACGATAGTAATTGAAGTTCGTGAGTCTTAGAGCTTCATGCTTTAATTCTCTGAGTACGAAATACATGTCCATCATATTAGGAACATTAATATCATTTTTCTCACACAATTTTTGTTCATCATGAAACAAGTCCTTAAAATTATTATCTCTCTAGGATTAAAAGAAAATAAGATGAAATAATTTTAAATTCTGAAAATAATAACAAGAATTAAAAAGGAACAATAACAAACATCAACCTGTTGTTGGTCTTTAGTCTAAACAAATGAGATAGAGGGAAGAGAATTGAAATGGTGGGCTGGTTTCTTTGAGCAATAATGTTTAATCAACTAAACCAACGGTAGTGCGGTTGGAAAGTAAGCCCACATCAATAAGTTAAAAAAAAAAAAAAAAACTAAAAGAAACCCACCAGTTCACACCGTTTCATTAAAGGGAACAGAGCTTTATAAATAATAGCATATGACGATGTCGTTTGGTTTTTAAACAACATTAGGTCGTCTTCTTCCTTGAAAACATTAGAACCTAGCAGAGCATTGCAGCGCACCAGCCCAAATACCAGCATGTTTGGAAGATCGGAAAGGAGGAATCCTCACTCTCAGTGGAGATTTCCAACGACTGAAGGGGTAGCCGCCCCTCCTTGCACCTATGTAACTTCGCCTGCCTTTATTTCTCTTTTATTTTATTTTAAGGGAACTAGGGAAGTAGTTAAATTGTATTTTAAATAGAAATAGATTCACTCTAGATTTGATTGTCCGGAGCTCAAAGATTTGATAATTCGGACCACTCAAATTAAATTTGACAACCGTTATTAACTCATTTCGCTAATTCATCTCACACAAATCAGAGGTTCTGATTTCTCTTTCATACAAGATTAAGTGATGATCGACTTCCGATTCCAAGTACGTACTCCATAGATCATAGTCATGCATACTCAAGGATGACATGTATGAGTGGTGGAATGGATAGGATTCTGTCAATCATTTTGCAATGCTTCTATCAAATCTCAATCGACGTTATACTATTTCAAACCAACCTCATACACGCAATAATACGTATGATGACACCATAATTAAAAGACTGGAAAATAATTAAAAAATTACTCAATCCAATTATCTTAACATGTTGTTAATTAATCCTAATCAAAGGTTTTATAACAGTTGCAAGTGGCTATTTCCTACAGTAGTGGAAAGGTGTTCAACTCTTGCATAACGGTGTGAGTTCAAACTCCGTTGGTGATTAATCTAATATATAATCGAACAAAATTCATCGTTTGGCCAAAAAAAAAAAAGTTTATAATAGTTAAGATATCCACCTACACAATATTGCATGCATCACCATGCCGAGTTGGCCTCGGTTTCCATTGGTGTAACAAAGATCAACAAAAATGGGGTTTTAATCGGGTCGCTGGTTGAAAAAACCGTTTGAATTCGACATTTCTTAAGTCTCAACAAAATTATTCTATTTATTAATGAGTATTATTTTTACTTACATGTAAGTTAAAAATTTTAAATTTAACTTACATAAACAACACGACGTATTATATTTTGTGTTAAGTTAGTCCTAAGTATAATACTCCAAGAACACGTCCTAACAAATTGAAGAAGCTTTATTTTATTTATTTTTTTGGTAAACAAGAAGCTTTATTTTGTACGTTTACTCATGCCATGCATGGAAGACTGCAGACTCTTTTGCATTTTGACCCACCAAGTGATGAATATTATACGTCCATCGGGACAAAGCTTACAAAAAAAAGAAATCGGCAAAGGTCAAATTTGAAGTCCAATATAGCAGCAAGAGGATCCTCTTCTGAGTTTAAGATAGGGATCTTCCAGACCAATTCATCCGGACCATTCAAATTTAATTCAACAGCTCCAAACATAGGAATCCTCTAAAAGTTATAATAATTGTAACCGTTGGATTAAATTTAAACGAGATGGGATGGCAAGAGGATCCCCATCCTGAGCTCAGGAGAGGATCCTCTTCTCCAATATAGCAAGTGCTACAAAACAAAAGTATTAACCAAGAATGAGGATCCTCTCCGGATCCTCTTTGTGAGGATTTCTGAGATACTTCAATCACATTCGTTCATCGTATATCGAGCGATCAGAAATTATTGTAAATGTTTTTATTTAAAATTAAATATAAACAATATCGGAAGAAAACTGACCATGTACGATGAACAGATGTGATTGGAGGATCTGGAAAGGATCCTCATTCATTAACCAAAAACATGACATGGTAAATTGAGTTGATGTAATTTTGCAACGATGATGATATATTTAATTAAAGGGCTGGTTGGATAAATCAAACTCATATCTACGTGATTGAAACTTATGACTTCTTACTTACAAGTAAAGAGAAATCTCAAACAATAACATGATGTCCCAAATTTCCGACTTAATACTTTGCTTGCCTTCCATTCTGGATTGGTATAGATTACGTTACGGTTGCATATAAAGGTATAAGTATGTCTTTGGCCTAATTTAGATTTTAAATTTTAATGCAAATGCATCAGATTTAAATGCAAATGCAAATCTCAGCAAACAATTAAGACGGATAAAAACTAATAAATTGTCGTAGTAGATAGGGGTGGACATCAATTCGACCAAATCAACCAAACCGGCTAAGCCAAACTATAGTGATTGGAAAAGTTTGGTTTCGAACAAAGAAAAAATGGATGTTTTGATATAGACGCCTTGTTTTTAAATATGATAGACTAAACATCTATTCCTTTTGCAAATTTGATTAAAAATTTTCCCTACAATTTTGGTACTTTAATTTTATTTCATTAGACGTCTATTCATGTTAGCATTCCTTTTTTTTCCTCCTATTTTTATGCACCTCTTATTATTATGATGATTTAAGATTTTTTTATTTTTTATTAAAATATTTATTTTAGTAAATTAAATATAATATAACAAAACTCGTTGTTAGGTACATTTGGCTATATCGGTACGATTGATTATAATGATACATTTAGTTACTTGGTACATTTGAATTTTTGGTCTGTTTAGGTTCCTGGTACATTTGAATTTTTGTTACGTTTGTTTTCAAAACATAAGTTTTATTACTTTTTGTCCTAATAACGAGGAATTACTTTAATTAATTTCTTTTTATAGAAAGAGTCATTAATCAACAGACAATAGTTTTTCTATTAATTCAAAATTATATGATTTATCATTATTATTTAGCATTATCTACAATAATAAGGATTTATCTCCAATCAACTAAAAGTTGTTCGAGAGACTTATCTATCAAAAAACAAGACTATCTAGAACATTGTGTATGAATCAAACATATTTGTAAACATTCCTAAAAGATGAATATTCATTTTAATATAGTTTATAATTGGGTACGTTTTAATTCGGGCTTGATACGTTTTCATTTGACATTGGTACGTTTCATTTAATGTTAGTACGTTTCCATTTGGCGTGGGTGTACATTTAGATTTGAAAAGTTTAGGGCCTGTTTGGTAATGTATTTAAGTCGTAAGATTTAAAAATTTTAAATTGCAAACCAATCAAGTTTTTGAGTCTTAAAAAAAATTGTTTTCGAGAAATGTTCTTAAAAAATGTTTTGAGAAATGATAAAAATTTTCAAATAGGATACCAAATAGCCCCTTAAATTTTTAGACTTAAATATAGTTGAAATTATTTAAAATATATAACAGATATTTAAATGTAAATTAATTTCAATTAATATGAAGTAGTTCAAGTCTGAGTATCTTAATCAAATGTTTCAAAAGTGTAATCAAAAACTCAAAAAGCATAAATGCTTAGTCTACAAAAGTCTAAAATGAGGTATCTAATTCTAATTTTCTCAAGAAAAAATGGGAACATGCTAGAACCAAACCGAACCATTATGAATTGGTTTGGTTAAATTTTTAAGCTTTTGTAAACCAACCTAAGCCTAAATGGACCAACTACTTATATATTGACTTTTTTATTTTACACGTGTTATCTTTGTATTAGTTTTAAAATGTTGATTTTGAAGATGGAATATTGAAATTATTATTCTTTGAGTTAAAACTCTAGTAGTTAATAAATTTTGAACATTTACAACATTGAGGTGAGTAATATTTTGGCTACACAAAAGATGAGTAAGAGTTCTTACTCAAAATTATATGTTGCCAGTCAAAATTTATGTTTATGATCAAAATTGTTCATATTATAAATTACTCTATAGATATCACATATGCAAAAAAAAAAAAAAAACTACAGTTGTTTAGTTATCGAACTGTACAAAAACAAATGAAATGAATTGGTGAAGCATTACAAACGCTTATGTATTTGTTACAGTAGATTGATTAAACAACTTTCGTTTTAATTTATTTTTTACATAAATGATATTTATAGGTGAATTTATAATATAAATAATTCTGATTATAAGCACATATTTCTATTATTCAAATATGAAAAATTTTGAGTAAAAATTCTTATCCTTTATTTATTTATTTTTATTTTTTTGTCGAACTTATTCTTTGTTGAGTAACCAAACATCGTTGCATAATGAGGTTGTGAAATATTCAAAGGGGAGAGGGAAAGATGAAAGAAGGACTCGCGGAAAGCACGTAAGACCGAGTCAAACTCACATCCGGCGGAGATGGAAGAGAAACTAACGCACACATACCCAGTACCCCAATCACCTACTCACCTCCCACCACCACCACTACCACTAACGACACATCGACCGACGAGAGAAATCTCAGTGTGAGCATCACCATCACTAACTATACATCAATCGTGAAAATTTTAATATGTCAGAAACACGTTTGATATACTAAATGTCACAATTTAAAAAAAATTTGACGTTACATTCTAAAAGAATTTCTCAACCGACGTGGGCCCATTCTAAACAACCATCCGCACTGCCCTAAGGGCCAATCACGCGCGTGACACCCCACGACGAGTGGTTGTGCGCGCCATGTGAATTCATTTCAAATTGCATGGCTCTCCTGGCTGCGACGTGGTTGACCACCACTTCACCATCACATCCGGAAAACAGTGGCTTGCTGGGATTTTAAGCGGGTCCCGCTCTTAATTTTTCATAACAAAGAACCCTGTTCACTCTCCGAATCTACGTATCCTGAGCTTAAAGATTAAATGATGCAGACCATTAAAATTTGAACTAACGGTTACAAATAAAGATCTTTCTAAAAGTTATAATAATTGTAATCGTTCGATTAAATTTTAATGATCCGAATTATTTGATCCTTAAGCTCAAGATCTAGGTTCAAACGAAGAAAAAGTCGAACATACTAAAACCAAATAAGAAACACGTTACATTTTTTATTGAGCCAAATAAGAAAGTGAGTACATGATTAACCGGTAGTAAGTACTTAAGTTTTATCCATTTTCATACACCTTTTTGCTCCACACACATTTTTTATTAATGACGATCACATTAAATAAATCAATAAAATCGACTGTCATAACCAAACGACAACGCGTAAAAAACAAAAAAAAAATGTGAAAATCATTTTATATATTAAAAGAGTTCACGATGCGGTGATCTAACTAATAATGCAAAATCATGTGGTATCATGAGACTTTGATCCAATCGCGTAATGTCATAAAAGGGTTTCGGTCCACCGATGTTAGGTTATGAGACATTTTTATCTAATAATACAATATCATAGAAATAAGTTCACCTTTGAGTGTTGAGATCAATTCATATAAAACTGAGTTCACAATTATGCAGCTTCCAAAACCACATACTAAAATCAAGTGGCTGTTCAGTTTAATAAAATAATATTATAAACGCATGTGGTTTAAAATTTTGATTTTCGTAACATTATCCTTATATTATCGAAGAGGATTCTCTATTCTTCTAATCTCTTTATCATTTCATGCTCTTTTATTTGAACAGTTACAATTAAGAAATGTCAACATCTTATATTGATTTTTTTTAAAGATAATAAGATAAAAAGTAATATATGAGAAGAAGAGATGGAACTCATGGAAGGGAATGAGGATAAGAAGGTAGCTAATCCTCTTCCTATGTTATCAACCAAAAACTCGTTTCATAATCCGTCTCCTACTTCCCCAAAGTCAAAACACAAAAGCAAACCAAAAACCGGCCACATGTGTGTACGCCACGTGTAAAAAGCAGGCCACGCGTTGGTCCCACTAGTTAACATCTCGCGACGGCCCTATCGGTGGCGCTGCTTCCCTCTTAAGCAAACCCTCTGTCACTCTCAGAAAATCTCTCAAACGTCACCTTTTTCTCTCCACAACCAAACTAATTTCGTTTCCCTCGCAACGTCAGTCTAATCAAATGTTAATTAATTAACTAAAACTTTCTTTAATTAACAACTAACACAAACATAATTAATGGGTTAGTCACATGAAACTAAACAATCCAGCTTGCCGGACTTGGGGAAAAGCAAAAGTCGTTTTTAGTAACAAGCATAGCTTCTTCTAGATCTTTATGAACTCTCACATAAATTAATAAATATGCTTTTTGGTTTTTTTTTTTTTGGTAAAATAATATGCTTTTTGGTTTTAAATTTAAGAAAAACTAACAAAAAAGATTTAAAAATTTTGAATTTTAACGATATAGATAAAATATAAAATAAAATAAATAATATCAAGATTTATTTTTTAATGTAAAAATATAATTTTTATTAAAATAAAAAATACCAAAAATTTTTCATTAAAATTTCATATCCGACTTGCATTGAACCAAGCAGACAAATTTAAATGCAACTTGGAACCAAACCCAAATCGCACAGCCCCAAAAAATAATGGCATGAGTCTCAAACCCCTAAATACCGTCACATGTCGATAATATTGAACTGAATTCAGGTCACATGTCGATAATATTGAACTGAATTCAGATAAATTTACACGTACTATGGCACGTGTACTTCGATATAATGATACCATGACGTCTCATGATAACAATACTAACAAAGAAAGTTTACACATTCTGTATTATTGATTTTAACATTTAGTATTAGTGCAAAACTGATAACAATACTAACAAAGAAAGTTTACACATTCTGTATTATTGATTTTAACATTTAGTATTAGTGCAAAACATCATGATAATCATATACACGTATCATGTAAATCACGAATAACTCTAAATAATCAAAGAAAACAGTGGAGGTTGCATTTACATACAATCTTCTTTTATTATTAATACTAATAACTGTAAATAATCAAAGAAAAACAGTGGAAGTTGCATTTACATAGAATCTTCTTTTATTATTAATACTATTTGCACTTGCATAGCCATGGTGGGTGGACTGGATTAGGTTGGAATCCAAACAAGGTCTTCACCCTTTACAACTTTCACTGATAATTTTCTGGGATCCCAAACATAACGTTATCCCACGGACTAATACAAAACAGGGACAACAGTCCAGTCAAATATGACCACCAGAACAAAAGCTGCCTGCTGCTTCTGCTTTTCTGCTTCTGCTTATGCTGCTATGGCAAATGCAGCAGCTTGTACCATATCCCCTTTTGATCAAAGTAGACATTTTTATTTTTCACCCTAACCCTAATCCAAAAAACATTTTCTTCTTCTCCAACCTGTTTTGCTGTCCTGTCCTTCTCAAAAACTACTATTTTCTTCTGTACTAAAACCTCCTACTATGGTAAAATAAAACCCCTTAAAAACCTATTGCAAACTTGCATTTCCTTTCTTGCTAAACTCCTTCCAATTTGCTCCCTAAAATTCCCAAAATTCAAACAAAACCCTAGTAAGTCCACTCCTGGGGGAGCCTAATCTCGTTGCTCGCTGCCGGCTGCGGCCAAATATTGCGCTTCTGCTGCAAAGTGGCGGTTCTGGTGGCAGCAGCCTTACTCCGAAGCTGAAGAGCAACCTCTGTAAATTTAAAGAAACAAATGAGTACACGAAACCCAAATTATAAACATAAGACTGGCATCAGTAAAACCGTTAGAAAGTAAAACAAGAGAAACGGTGTTAACTTTTACCGTAATCAGAGTTCAATCTGCCATTAAAACGACGCTGAAGCTGGGGCTGTTGCTGCATGTCGTCAATGTTCAAGTTCAGAGCCTGCACAACTCTAGCTGGGAGTAGAGCTGTGGAACACACTGTACCAAAAAATACATGAAAATTTTAATGAGCCCACCAAATCCAATGAAAGAGTTGGACCAAATTAATGCCTTTGAAGAACATTGTCCAGATCTGAAAAAAACAGAGCCGGCAAAATTTAATAACCTTCAACATCTCAACCACCCAGCACCCAAAAAACCCAGAGAATCATTAAAAAAAACTTAATGATCTAACCCACAAGCTTCAATGGAACAAGAAACAAATTTTATTTACTGGGTAATTGGATCTTTCTAACTGGGTTTTACTTGAGATTGGACTTATCTAAGTGGGTATTACTTAAAATCGGATTTTATAACTGGGTTTTACTTCAAAAGTGAAATAAATACGTTTGGAAGTAAAAAAAATGGGGGGGGGGGGGGGGGGGGGGGTGGGGGCCGGGGAACGAACCTTGCTTCTTGCGGGGTTCGAATTGGGGGCCGACTTGGCGGGGTAAGAAGACGCCGGTGCCGGAACGCTCAACTTTCGCAGATGGGTTTTGGTTTCCGATATAAACCGCTCTGAATCCGGACCCGTTTTTGTTGTACTGTTGCTGCTGCTGAGCTTGTTGCAGAGGCGGCCATGCAGATGGCGACAAACCCAGAGGCCGAGCATTGAGAATGTTGGGAGTGTTGTTTCTTGCTCTGGTTTGGTGGTTTAGGTGGGGCTGCGGCTGAGTCTGCGCCGGAGGATATCGAGTTTGTGCTCCCCAGACCGCTGCGTTCTGCTCCTTCATCACCTGTTGCTGCCTCAACAGCTTAAACTGCGGAAAAAATGGAGCGGAAAACATGAATGTGAGGTGTTCGATAAAAGGCCCCAGAGATATTTGGATACATGTTCAAGAGTTTTAGTACCTGAGCGGCTCGCAAGTGCTTGTGAGAAAGCGATTGCTGGTGGTAGTAATAAGCAGCATCTGGGTGGTGGTTGGTGGGGACCGAGACAGGGAAAGGCTTTCTTGGAGGACCCAGGAGGCCTGTGCTTTGGTTGATGCGCATCTTGGCTACTTCCCCTGCAGCCGCATGCAGCAGATCCCAGGTGGCCGGCGGCGACTGGGCGTTCGGGCTTCCGCGGCTCGAGCCCTGTCCGCAACCGCAACCGCTGCCAACTGCGCAGAGAGTCGACTGGGGAGAACCAGAAGCGACCCAACCCTGCAAATCAGGCAAAAAACATAAATCTCAAATAAAATCAGAACCGCCATTAAAACGTGTCGTCTAGAAACAAAACAGAAAGTATTATTTTTTTCTATTACCTTTGGCTTCTTGGAGGCGAAAGCAGAGTCGGGGTACTTGAACTCGTCGTCGAGAGTGGAGCGAGCCATTTGGCGGGTCAACCCAGCGAGGTAGTCTTCCTCGTCGCTCTCAGTCTCGCTCGACTCGACCGGCGAAATGAAATCCGATGAAACCCCAAAAGTGCCGCCGTAAGGAAACTCAAACGGGAACAGAGCTTTCGGAGCATCAGTATCAAACCCATACCCGCCACTTTTATTGGTCTTTGAGTTGAGCTCCATGGCCGGTGCGTCGTCGTCGTTGAGAATCTGGGTCGGGAGCCAAAACGCAGCGTCTAACGTATCGTCCATCTGGGTAGTCCTTGAAATAGCAGAACAGAGAGTGAATTGGAGAAAAAAGTAGAGAGAGAAAGTGGGGTTTGATGGGTCTGAGATAAGGGGGTTTTGCTGCTCGGTGAAGGTATAATAATGGCGAGCCCAGCTGTGTTTGCTGGTGCTACGTAGAGACTAAACAGGCACCCAGCAGTATCGAGATGTAGTGGTTAGTGAGAGTGAGAAAACAGAGGAGGTGGAGGAGGAAGAAGGCAGAGAGGATGTGAGGCTTTATTGAAAGTTGGGACGAAGCCCCAGAGGCCTTTTTAACAGTGACTCGGTTTATTAAATTATTAAATTTGATTTATTGAGGGGGTGTGGGGGGAGAGAGAGAGAGAGAAGAGAGAGAGAGAGAGAGAGAGAGAGAGTGTGTGTGTGTGAGAGTGAGGAGAGAGAAAAGGGAGGAGGAGCGAAAAGTAATACGGCGAATGGGAATGGCAAACCAAAAACGCAGCAGCAGTAAAAGAAACGCATAGACAGCAGGGCTCTCACGCGGAAACGCGGGCGTGGGAAACACGCGGAACTCGTGAAGGGGAAAGGTGAAGTAATTTAGGGTTGATTTGGTATTGCTGTGTTTTAAAAAAAATTATTTTTGCTGTGCTATGAGAATAAACTTATTTTTGCTGCTTCACGCTTTCAGCTTTTTTCACAAAAAACTATGAAAATAAGCTGTTTTTAAGTGTTTATCGAACACTTTTTTTATAACCACTTTTTATAAAAGCACCTTAGTACCAAACCAGTACTTAGTTTTATCAAGCGAGAAGGACTTATATGGCACGAGAAATTTTTCATTGTGACGAGAATACACATATCTCATTATTTGTATAGTAACACGTGGTGTATCATCCCATATTCCGATCACATTAAATAATCTATCATGTAACACGAGACATCATTATGACAATAAATCCATACCATACGAGATTTGATACTTGTTTGAGTCCAACAGGGGGAAGAGCTTTAGCACTCGGCAACCAAATGACATCTCTTATAATATGTGACTTGTTATAAATAGGCAAAAGTTAAAGAAATAACCTTTGCTAAAAATAGGAGCTAGGCTGTTGCAAGATATTACACAAAATGATTGCAGATTAAAGAGAAATAAGAGGATATTAAAAATATTCTAACTTATCTTTCTTTTCTTATTGCTTTTGTATCATTTCTTTTGAACACTCCTAGTGCTCTATTTATAGAGCAACTACTTTGAAAACTTACAAAAACTTTACTATTAGCATATAAATCTTTAATATATACATGTGGGCAAACATACCCACTGTTTATAATACTCCCACTTGGATGCCCACATATCAACATCAGTTGCCTTGTTAAAACCTTGCTTGAAAAAATCCAGTGGGAAAAAACCATAGCGAAGGAAAAAGAGTACAACTTTACCAGGTTTGTTGATATGATGTTGAGCATGCTTATGTTGCCTCGTTAAAACCTTGATAGGAAAAACTCAATGGGAAAAATCCTAATTGAAGGGAAAAAAGTACAACATGCATGTATTATAGATGCTTCCCTTGAATTGTATCTCCCCCTGATTCCGCATTCTTCAAATTTGTAAGTTGACGTAATCCGATTCCCTGTACTAACTTCTGAAATGTGCACTTTGGTAGAGATTTGGTGAATAAGTCTGCCAAATTTTCATTGGAATGAATTTGTCTGACCTCAATCATTTTGGCCTTCTGAAGCTCATGTGCACTGAAAAATTTTGGACATATATGTTTAGTTTTATCACCCTTGATGAATCATTCCTTCATTTGGGCAACACAACTGCATTATCTTCATGGATGACAGTTGGATTGTCTGTTTTTGAAGATAGATCACATGAATTTCGGATGTGATGGATCATTGATCTTAACCAATAACATTCACGACTTACTTCATGTAAAACAATTATTTCCGAGTGATTGGAAGATGTAGCAACTAATGTTTGCTTTGTTGATCGTCATGAAATTGCAGTATCTCCATTACTGAACACATATCCATTTTGTGAGGAGGCTTTATGCAAATTAGAGAGGAAACCACCATCTGTATATCCAACAAAAATCTGGTCATTTGTGGATTTCACCGAGTAGAAGAGATCTATGTCTGTTGTTCCACGAAGGTATCGCAATACATCTTTGATTCCTTTCCAATGACGAATTGTTGGAGCAGAGATATACCTTGCTAACAAATTGACTGAAAAAGCTATATCTGGTCTAGTACGTTGTGCTAAATACAATAAAGCACCTATTGCACTCAAATATGGTACTTCTAGACCAAAGACCAGTTCATCATCTTCTTTTGGACGAAATGGATCTTTCTTAATATCCAAAGAACGAACGACCATTAGGGTGCTAAGTGGATAAGTCTTGTCCATGCCAAATCGCTTCAGTATTTTTTCAATGTAAGCTGATTAATGGACCAAAATTCTATTAACACAATGCTCGATCTACAGGCCGAGACAATATTTTGTTTTCCCAAGGTTTTTCGTTTCAAATTCATTTTTCAGATATTCAGCAGTTTTATGAAGCTCTTCAGGGGTTCCAACGAGGTTCATATCATCGACATATACCGCCACTATAGATAATCCAGTATTTGATTTCTTAATGAACACACAAGGGCAGATGACATCGTTGGTATATCCTTCTTTAATCAAATACTCACTGAGACGATTATACCACATTCATCCAGATTGTTTCAGCTCATATAATGATCGCCTTATTTTGATTGAAAACATACCTCATGGTTTAGTAGTTGCTTCAGGCAACTTAAGTCCTTCTTGGACTCTCATATATATGTCAGTATCTAATTCTCCATATAGATATGTGGTGATGACATCCATAAGTCGCATGTCAAGTTTTTTTGAAACTACAAAACTTATTAAGTAACAAAACATAATTACGTCCATTACAGGAGAGTATGTATCTTCATAATCAATTCCAGGTCTTTGTGAAAAACCTTATGCAACAAGTCGTGCTTTATATCTTACAATCTCGTTTTTCTCGTTGCGTTTCCTTGTGAATACCCATTTGTAACCCACGGGGTTTACACCAGGCGGGATTTGGACTACTAATCCAAAAACACTTCGCATTTTTAAGAAATTTTATTCCGCCTGGATTGCATCTTTCCACTTAGGCCAATCTTGTCTCTGTTTGCATTCTTCAACAGAACGATGCTCAATGTCATTGCTTAATATAATTTCAGTGGCTATTGCAAATTTCATCGATTATTATTTCATTTCGATCCCACAATTCATTAGTACATGCATAATTTATGAATATTTCTTTGTTTTCATGTACTTCTGTCTCTTCAGGGACATATGTCTCATCAAGAACATTTTCTTTTTCTGGAAGTACAGAATTATGAATTGTGAATTTATCATTCATTTTCTTTTCCTGAATGATTTCATTTGGGTTCAACTGTGCTCTCATCTTTCTCTTTCGAGGGGCTGAATTTTTTGAACCTGGGGGTTTATCACGCTTCAAGCGTGCACTAAATAAATCATTCGCTGCCACTTTATTTTGTTCAATAGAGACATCAACTCTTACAAGTGCATTTGCAGCTGGTATATGTGACTTTGTCATTTTTTAAGCATCATTAATTGCATCTGACATTTGATTAGCAATACTTTAAATATGAATGATCTTTTTCACTTCATTTTCATATTGAATGCTTCGCGGATCAAAATGAGACAAGGTGGGAACAACCCATGTCAGCTCTTGCCGTTCTTTTGGAACGGTATTTTCTCCCCTTAACGACAGGAAGATTACCTCATCAAAATGATAATCAGGAAAATAAGCTGTAAACATATCACCTGTCAAGGATTCGAAATATGTAATTATAGATGGTGAATCAAAACCCATATAAATTCCTAGTGTACGCTGAGGTCCCATTTTAGTACGTTGTGGCGGTGCAACAAGCACATAAAAAGCATAACTAAAAACTCGTAGATGTGAAATGTTTGGTTGATGTCCAAACACTAGTTTTATTGATGAATATTGGTGATTGGCTATGGGTCTCAGTCGAACCAATGATGTAGCATGTAAGATGACATATCCCTATGCAGAGACTAGCAATTTCGTTTTCATGAGCAGAGTGCAGGCTATTAATTAAAGCAGCTTGATAAATACCTCTACTAAACCATTTTGAGTATGGACATGAGGAACATGGTGTTTAACATTAATGACCAGTGCCATACAGTAATCATCAAAGGTTTAAGACGTAAATTCACCAACGGTATCAAGTCGGATTGACTTAATAGGATGATCTTGGAACTGTGCTCGCAACTTAATTATTTGAGTAAGAAGTCTCGCAAAAGTTACATTTCGAGTAGACAATAGGCAAACATGTGACCATCGGGTAAATGCATCAACCAGAACCATAAAATATCGAAATGGTCCACAAGGTGGTTGAATAGGCCTACAAATATCCCCTTGAATTCTTTGCAAAAATGATGGAGATTCAACATCAACCTTTAGTTGTGATGGTCTAGTTACCAACTTCCCTTGAGAACAAGCCTTGCAAAGGATATCATTTGAGGTAGTAATGTGTCTGCTTAATAATAGATGTCCATTAAAGTTGGTAATGATCCTACGCATCATGATGGATCCTGGATGACCAAAGCATGTAAAATTTTGAATCCATGAACTTCTGGTTCATGACCCTATGTACCTCAATTGTCTTTATGTATGTATAATACAATCCACTTGATAAACCATGTAACTTCTCCAATATACGCTTCTGTGTATCATTAGAGGTAATGCATAAATATTCCACATTTTCTGCACTTTTCGTTTCAATGTGGTATTCATTTAGACATATGTCTTTAAAACTCAATAAAATTTCGAGTAGATTGAGTAGCGTACAACGTATTCTGTATAAACAATATTGTTCCATTTAGTAACATAATCTGGCCTTTTCCTGAGCCTTCAATTACATCTGATTACCCTGATATTGTTGTTACTTTTACTTCTGTAAGTATCAAGTTCGAGAAATATTTTCGATCTCGAAGTATTGAATGCATGGTTACGCAATTTGCAAGACAAAAATCTCCACCATTGCTCTTATTTTGAAAATAACCATAATTTTTATCCATGTTCTCTGAGTAAAGAAATTACAGTTAAAAAGCAGTTTATTCATACTAGAATACTACTTTTATTGAATTGAAAATGCGAGCATTAAACCACAAGTACATATAATAAGAGTACATTAAATATAAATGATTCAATCAGACCCATAAACTTCATTTCCTCTTGCAATAATAAAGTCTGAAACATCCAGGTGGGTTGTGTTCAAC